TCCGCAAAATTTCAGAAAGGTTTCTGCAAAGCTTGGATTGAGTTCTTAGTACTGATTTTTTATTTCTAAAAAGTAATTTAGCTGATCTTTTTGCAGTTGTGCTGCCACGTAGACTATCTACAAATGTTTGTCTAAAATTGTTTTAAAACGTTCAATTTGAAGCAAAATTTTATTCTTGTGAAAACTCTTCAATGAAGTGTCAAAATAAGATGCACTTCAAATTTTGCGGTACATTTTGTTGTATCCTTCCTTCTTCTACATTTCACGCAAGGATTGTTCTTTTTTCACAAATTCTCGCTGCCAATTTTCAGCTTTCTGGTTACTCAGCTTTCTCATTCAATTTTTAAATAAAGTAAGGTGACAGCCGAAATGATCTCATTGCCCCCCTCAAGTCCAATTAATAAAAATTTTGTAAACTGATAACTGATTAAAAAATTCAATGAGAAATTAGTAGAAATTAGTTTTCAATGTTTATCCCCCCCACAGTTTACCCCTCCTCAATTTACCAAACGTATCATTTGGTACGTTTGGGGCACACGTATCATTTTTTTAAATTCAAAATATGGAATTTTTTGTCGCTCTTCACCCATACAACCAATGTACAATATAAAGAGGTTTTTTAAAATCTTCTGACTATTATTGTTCCGACTTTCGATACGAAAGAAACGGAATATTTGTGCTCGGGGTGGGTTTTTTTTTCTTCAGACAAATTCAATGAGAAATTAGAGTTTTGTTCCGATGTTTTTTATATCCCTCTTGCGATGTAAATGAAATGCTGCACTCAGTATCTGCCACTGCAATAAAATTCCAATCAGATTGCCTCAAATCAAGTTAGAGCTTATTTGAACCGGTTCAAATCACCACATCAGCGGTGCGTTAATAGAGTGAAATAGATCGCTCAATAATTGTTTCAAATTGAGCAAGTTTACAATTTTCAAGCCGCCATAATGTTACAAAACATGATCACAGATAACCTTATGTTTCAATTTGAGCTCAAGCCGTTTATACTTTTTAGATTGTATCAAAAACTCTATTCAAGTTTTATCATGATTCTGCACATACCATTTTTACAGTGACATCCCGCACTGGAGTTCCATGGATAATAATCCCTGTACAAAACAGTCCCATACAAAACAGTCCGGAAACGTATGAAAATGAACGAAAAAACAGTCCGATACGAATAGACCGAAAAACAGTTCCAATTAACAATTGTTTTAACAAGCCGGCAGGTCGAGAACTGTCCTTTGTGTCAACAAGCATAATGAACAAAATAATGACCGCCGCAGTCGCGCAAACGTGTTGCGAGCTTGCCAACAGAAGGTAGGACTTAATACGAAGTTTAGAGCCGGTTATCACCGCAAAGCGGCGACGCGCGCACAGCGCGCCCACCGGCGACCTTAAACAGGACTGTTTTGTTTTGGACTGTTTTTTTTCTCCATTACATGATTTTTGGGACTATTTTGTATTGGACTATTTTGTATGGGACTGTTTTGTATATGCACCTAATAATCGATTATATTGTCATTTTATAGTCAGTATCTATAAAAATACAAAAATAATTGATTATAATCCATCAAAAATGGATTCAAATCCAATTTTTTATATCAATATAATCCTTTATGATTGATTATAAACGGTTATAATCAATTATAATGGATTTTTTTGAGATGTTAGTCATGAAATTTACAACTGTTTTTCAAAGTTATCGCATTTGCTGCTCAGTGCAGTCGCTAGTTTTAAGTTTCACAAAATGTTACATTTCACGTTTCAGTTTTTATAATTTTTGTCTTTTATACTTTGTTTACATCTCTCCCCCCCCCCCCCCGTTTACCCCCCTTCTCCCTGCCAGTTTACCACAACCGCCATTCGCCCCCCCCCCTTTATGGGGGGTTATTTATTGGTGCACTTTGGGGAACTGGCTTATGATTTACACCCCCCCCCCCTCATGTTTATCACACCCCCCCCTCCCCCACAGTTTACACCTCCTCAATTTACCAAACGTATCATTTGGTACGTTTGGGGCACACGTATCATTTGTTTTCGATTCAAATTATGGAATTTTTTGTCGCTCTTCACCCATAAAACCAATGTACATTATAAAGTGGTTTTTTAAAATCTTCTGACAATTATTGTTCCGACTTTCGATACGAAACAAACGAAATATTTGTGCTCGGGGTGGGTTTTTTTTTCTTCAGACAAATTTCGACTTTTTAACTAGCCATTTTTGACGGAGTTTTTTTATACATTCAAAAGGTATGAGCTCAAATTTGAAAAAATATTTCACCTGTGATCATTTTTTGTAAAGTTACGGGGTTTAAAGAGTGCCATTTTGGCCAATTTGGGACAATCAACGCGTGATATATTTTTATTTCATTGAATTTTTTAATGTTATTACTGCTCCATAAACCTTATAAGGCAGTCGGAACTTTCAGCGCTTCGCCCTGATACGAGCAGTCTTGTTTCTTTTAAATTCTATTTGATTGCATCGATTCCATTTGAACTTCTGAGCCTCCAAAAACTACTTAAAAATCGAAGTGACTGCGGAAATAACCAACCAATCACAGATATTCTGCCAACTTTTTTGAATCTTTAGTTCGTCTTCGATTTGATGTAATGAATAAACTATTTTATTCTGCAACACCACAAATCGAATTAGGGGGAGGGGGTTTAATTGGAGTCGGCCTAGATTGCGAGTAGGCTGGGAGTAACGCAGAAATGTTGCAAATTTTGCGAATGATTTTGCAAAAAATTGTATAGATTATAATGCGTTATAATCAATTTTAATGGTTTTCAAATGGATTATAATCCATTATAATGGATTTTAATGGATTGTGTTTTTACGAAAATAATCGATTATAGTGACAATATAATCAATTTTGTGGTCTAAATTTGCAAAAATAATAGATTATAATGACACAATTTTACACGACAATTATTATCCATGGAACTCCGTTGCGAGATTAAAATCCAATAATTTAAAGTGTCTCCCAATTAGAATTATAACCGTCAAAATAGTCACAAATTTCATTACCCGTTACATCAGAACAAATGCTTGCAGTTGCAGATGAATTTTTAAAACTCCATCAATAGCTTTGAAGTGATTTCTAAAGTTCCGCCAAAAAGAGCCAAGTTGAAACGTCAAACTTTATGAGAAGAAAACATCCCGAGCCTAATGAAATTTTCCGCTTCTCAATAACTTTTCCGTTTTTTCCAAACCTCGATAATTTAACGAAAAATGGTCACAGGTAAAAAAAAAATCTTTTTAAATTTTTACCTCAGAAGATCTTACCTTTCACATAATTTCAAAAACCTTGTCAAAATCCTGTCATCTAGTTGAAAAAATTGAAATTTTCCGGAGAAAAGTAAGCAAACGAGCACAAATATTCTGTCACTTTTTCAAAAGTCTGAACAAAAGATGTCATTTTTACACCTCGTGATTGAAGAAATGACCAGCTTCTTCTACTTATTGCTAACTCCGTTCTTGAGCTTGTTTAACAATCATGATATGATCTCTTAGCCTGAATTAACTCAAATTCAATGGCTCAAAGGATTGTGAGCGAACGATGAGTTCATTTGAGCATGCCGGACTAATTATTAATTATTAATGGGCAATACTTACGTTTTTTGCTAGGGATTTTGGCTTTATTTGCGGATTTTGGCTTTATTTGAACTCACTGCTGGTAAGTGGCACTCTGTCAACCAAGCCATTTTTTAAATTTACCTGTCGTAGAGTTAGTTTCATATGAGTCATACCAATATCTTTAAAAAGTTCCGCAAAATTTTAGAAAGGTTTCTGCAAAGCTTGAATTGAGTTTTTAGTATTGATATTTAATTTCTAAAAAAAAATTTAGCTGATCTTTTTGCAGCTGTGCTGCCACATAGACTATCTACAAATGTTTGCTTAAAATTGTTTTGAAACGTTCAATTTGAAGCCAAATTTTATTCTTGTGAAAACTCTTCAAAAAAAGTGTCAAAATAAGATGCACTTCAAATTTTGCGGTACACTTTCTGGTATCCTTCTTTCTTCTACATTTCACGCAAGGATTGTTTTTTTTCCACAAATTCTCGCTGTCAATTTTCAGCTTTCTCAATAGACATTCTGCTTCTCTACCTTTTGTTAGATATACCACTTAACACTGATCGTTGAGTTTTGGGAGGATGTTCATCAAGGCAGATGGTATGGAAAAAAAGTTTAGAAAGAAGGAGTTATTATGATGAGAGTTGTTAAGTTGGTAAAAATTGGTAAATAATACCGCCCATAGCAGAATTGTTTGTGAGTCATGGTAGCAAATTTCCGCTTCATAATAGGGTCCTTATAGCATTTTCGGAGAGTTCGGAAAATCAAATTTATCGACCTAAAAAATAAATCAACAAAATTTTTAAAACGTTCGAAAAACCGCCCCCCCCCCTTCCCTAGAAAAATTCATGCGCAGGGAACCGCTGAGTTCAACATTTGAACCCAAATCGTGAAAAAAATCCAAAAAAAAACTTTTTGTCGCTAATTGAAAATTTTTAGAGGCCTCAAACTTGTTCATGAGCTGGGCGGAAAAATGGTTTTTTTTCTTAACTTGGGTTGAAACGTCTAACCCAGAGGTTCCCTGCGGATAAATTTTTCTAGGGAAGGTGGCGGTTTTTCGAAAGGTTTAAAAATTTTGTCTATCTATTTTTTAGGTCGACTAAATTTGATTTTCCGAACTCTCCGAAAATGCTATAAGGACTCTAATTGTAAGCAAGCAAATTTTGGGGGGAAAACAGGCTAAAAATGACATTCTGAGTACTTTGTAAAAACAGTCATAGCACAAATAGCGCTCACGAGATGAAAACTATTAGTAACTATATTAATGCAATATGTTTTACTCAAACCGATACCACGCAATACCTCGCAAAATGTTCGGGGGAGAAGCCGATTTATCAGCGTGCATTTGAAACAGTCCAGCTTCTCATTCGCTTTTTTTGCTTTATTATGATTGGTTTTTAAATGATTGTAATGATAAACTTACTTGAAGTAATTGAGATTCGAGAGTTGATGGCTTGGTTCCTTTTGATCACAACGGATGATAATTCAGTAGATATTTTCCAAAAGCACCTGTTTAATTTATCGAGAAGCTGAGTATTAATTTTTCTGGTGACATTTACAATTCAATCAAAAAACCATCTGCTATGAAATTGCTTGTACATTTTAATAAGGACTTTAATTTTTTGCTGACTAATTCGCCCACTAAAATTTTGACAGAACTTCAACACGGCTGATCATGACGAGCCCAGTGAAGCGCTGTTCTAAAGGACTTTCCTTTCTGCTTTTGTTTTGTACACAAGCTATCGGAAACGAATCGAATACTTTTTTTCTCGACGAACAGCTTGTATCAAATGCTACCCTTCCAAGTGGTTCGTCGTCCAATATTACAGAACAACAGTGGACAACATTGGCAACAGAAACTCCGAGACAATGTCCATTGTTAAATAGGGGTAACAAAAACTATTTTTGAACATCTTTAAGCCGTTTTTTTCCTTCAAATTCTTTGGGCCCGACTGTTTCAGTAGCAATTTTTGACGAAACAATTCTCGCTTAAAACTAAAAATGATATTTTACCAGTGATAACTTTTTGCAAAGTTACAATAGTTTGAGTTTGGGACTATACTTTGACGACAATAATTCAAATTGGGACAATTAACGCGCATAATAATTTGTACTGTTGAAGCGTAAGCAGCGAATTGAATCACTTCAATTTTAACTGAGGCAAGGATTCTGCTCCTAATAATACGTCGCCAGGCATAAATCCGGATCATCTAAACTGTTCGCGCCTTCTGATACCTAGTAAAAAAACTGCAAACCCCCCTATAAGTAAACAAGACTTCTCGTATCAGGGCGAAGCCCTGAAAATTCCGGCTTCCTTTTACCGTTTATGGAGCAGTAATAACATAAACAACATAAAAACAATTAAATGAAATAAAATAAATGAAATTTTTTTTTCCAAATTTTGAAAATTTTTCGATGAAAATTATCCCCCCCACACGCCATTTAAAAAACAAAACAATAGATTTCGCTCCTTGTAACAAATCAATTATGGCAAATAGGCTTCTTTCAACCCATTTGGAACGATTTCTAAGACGGATTAAATCTCCGCTTACGCGTTAATGGCGCGAATTATATCGCGCGTTAATTGTCCCAAATTGGTCAAAATGGCCAAAAATGGCAATCTTTAAACCCTCATAACTTTACGAACAATGATCACAGGTGAAATATCTTTTCAAATTTAAGCTCAGGACAACAATAGCTTTCGAATGATATAAAAAAATTCCATCAAAAACGGCTAGTTAAAAAGTCGAAATTTGTCAGAAAAAAAAACCCACCCCGAGCACAAATATTCCGTTACTTTCGTATCGAAAGTCGGAACAATAATTCAGTGTTTAAGCAAATGGGAGTTTTTAACCTTGAAACCAAGAAAAAAAACAATTGACCGAGCTTTGCTTCGATACGAGCAGTCCTGATTATTTTTGAAAGCAGCTGTTTTTGTCAAGCAGGATGAGTTTTTCTTCAGCAGTTAAGCACGAGACTGAAAGCTTAAGCATATTTGAATTGCTAAGCTTATCTAAATTTTGAACCTTGTAACAGTTTCCTCCCTTTCTGTAACAAGACTGCTCATATCAGGGCAAAGCCCTGAATGTTCCGAGTGCCTTTTAAGGTTTATGGAGCAGTAATAACATTAAAAAACTCAATAAAATAAAACAAATATTTTTTCTTCTAAAATGTGATTTTTTCAATTGAAAATCATCCCCCCTACACGCCATATAAAGTATAAAAGGATAGATTTCGCTCCTTGTAACAAACCAATTATGGCAAATAAGCTTCTTTTAACCAATTTGGAATAATTTCTAAGACGGATTAACTCTCCGCTTACGCGTTAATAGCGCGAAATAAATCGCGTTAATTGTCCCAAATTGGCCAAGATGGAAATCTTTAAACCCCCGTAACTTTACGAAAGATGATCACAGGTGAAATATCTTTTCAAATTTTAGCCCAGGACAACAATACCTTTCGAATGATATTTAAAAATTCCGTCAAAAATGGCTAGTTAAAAAGTCGAAATTTGTCTGAAGAAAAAAAACCCACCCGAGCACAAATATTCCGTTACTTTCGTATCGAAAGTCGGAACAAAAAGGAGATAACTTTCCGCAAACATTTCCTTTTGTTTCGTGCTTACCCCCCATTAAAGTTTCAAAAAGATGATTTTTTAAAATCGATTTTGGTGAGCTGTCAGGGCATTCAGAGCTTTGCCCTGATTCAAGAAATCTTGTTTATTACTGAAACAGGCCGTTTTTGTCGAAAGGATGCTTTTTCAACAACTATCCTGAGAAAGGTTTCATCGATCATCAGTGGTTATAATGGATTTTCTCGTTCAGAAATGCTGCCGTTATAATCGATTTAAATTATATCGACTTCGCAATCAGTTATTATCATTAATTTCTGAAAACTTAAAACAGCTGAAGTCCATTTGAAACCAATTATTATTAAGGAATACAATGAATATAATCTTTTTAAAAAATTCGCAGTTTTTTATATGCATTAATTACAGCATTTTCTTATTCTAAACCTACTGACATTTTCAACATCCTTCTAGTTTTTAACACCCAATTTAAACACTTCCCATCTTACCCCCATCTCGCTATCCCAATCTTTTAGCTATACTTCGATTTCAGATATATTTGGATTTCCATATAAATTCAGCACCCGCGTTAACTTCAGACTAAATTTTTGGATTTACGACGCAATTTCAGTCACCATTTGAAAGTTTTGAAATGAATTATATCCACACGAAAAGAATTATATCTAGGTTTTCAATTAATGTTACGTTTGCTATTAGCAAGCTTTAAAAAGTCGGAATGTAGATTGTTTTTGGGTTAACAATTACTTGAACAGTTGAATCAATTGCTGACATGTGTGCAATGTTTGTTACTAGGAAGTTTTCAGAAATAAATTGCTTTTTTGTCGGTTTCATGGATTTGCAGGATGATTTAAACTTTTGAATATTTTTCTAAATTGTTAGCTTTTTAACCAGTCAAATACATGGTGAGTTTTTAGGTTCATTCAAAACTACTGGTTGTGGGAATTGTCCCCGCATGATCACATGACGAGTAAAATTTGATCACATTGTTCGATCGTTAGTGGACTGATTTACTAATTGGGCTACGACACATTGGTCTCTTTGTACATAAACTTACAAAACTTAAATAGCTTGAAAAAGTAAATAGAGTGAAATTTGTACTCCTGCAATTTGTAATTCTACTAATCATGACTTCGTATCTTTTCATTTTTTCGCTAAAATTTTTTAGGCCAATTATTTCTCTCTTTATCTGTTTTCAGCTTAGTTGTTACATCTCGTAACCGTTTTTTTTGCTACGCGCATTTTTTAAAGTCGCTTTTAATGTTTGATTTACTCCTACAATTTGTTATTTTACTCTTACCTTGACTTTTTTCTCCTCTTTAATTTTTTTCGTTTTATCAAAAAAAACTCGTCAGCTCTAACTTTATTGTTTTATTGACCTAATTTTTAGTCGTTTAAAGGGAAAAAAATTCCAACACTTGCCTTTGCACTTCTCAAGTTGATTGTTTGTTTACCAATCCTTTTGTTGAAATTTCTTTTTTTTATTTCATGAAAATTTATTTCAAAATATACTGGAAAACTTCTAGTTTTTTCTCAAAATATTCTTTTTTGTATCAACTGAAAGACCGTCTCATAACTTGTGTACCTGTATACTCTCGTATAATGTTTTTTCACTTAGTTCCTTTGTCTACAGCTTTCCAAAAATCTGTAAGAGAAAGTATTCACCCATACTTATAATTTTTTTCTCTGAAAATATCCCTCTCAAATCTGCCCTCTAAATTTGACTGCTCAAATCCTTTTCTGAGATGTGGCGCCTGATACATGAGCCCAATTCATCTTCACGGTTGCAAAAATAATTTAGTACGTGTTTTAGGAAGCTCTTTTAACGTTCAACGATCTGTTTGAAGCACCGTAGGTGCGAGTCATGCGCTAGTTTATTCATATTGCTAAGAGCGTAACACGAGTTATTTATGCGTGGCGAATTATCCCGCATAACAAAATCGTTCCAAATTGAATTGAGGCTAGCTAATTTGTCGTATTAATTTCGTACGACTCAATATTTTCCACTTTGATTTTGTCCAAAATTTACAGTTTTTCAATATTTTCTTTTCCCAAAATGAATTAAGGGAGAGTCGGAACATTCAGGGCTTTGCCTTGATATACGAGCAGTCTTGTATTTTTTCCGCCGATTGGTAGGCGTTATTGATTTATTATTTTGAGCTAAAACAAAAAGAATCATATCAAACAAAAGAATCATAAAGAATCAACTGTTTTATGGCATAAAAAGCCATTAGTCCCTATATCTTGCAGTAAACATCTCTGTTTCTCGTCACTTCAAATATCCGAATAAGGGTTTTAAAAAACTCCCTACATGAACGACTGCAGCCAATTTTATTTACACGTTAATATGACCCTCGGAAACTTAAAATTGTTGATTTTTGAGCGTTTAGTGAATCTTTTTGAGCTTCTGAGCATCTTTTTGAGCTTTTTTAGCTTCTGATGTTGTGTTTAATGGAGATAATGAGTAGTGAGACACTCCCCTGTTTAGCGGTCGCTTACAAAGTTTTTTGAAGAAAAAAGTTATTGCCCTCGGAAAATTCATTTAAAAAAAATTAGTTGGTCGTTTTTTAACTTTTAACTTTTTGAATATTCGCAGAAATTACCCTGCCATATGAGATTTTACGTTTAATTCAAAGAAAGACTTTTGTAAACTCATTTGCTAATGCGAAAACGCCCGAATTTTCTTGACACTAAAAGTTATGGCCCTCGAACAAGTTGAAGTTTTTTGAGCTTTTTTTGTTATAGTTTTTGAATTTTCTCGAGAACTGCACTGAGTTTATGGGTTCAATCAAAATTTTAGTATGTTTGAATCCATTTTGCGTAATTGATTACGCCTTAATTTTTCACACAAAAAGCTATGATTCTCTGAATTATAGAATTTTTTTTAAAGTTGACCTTTTTTGGACTAGTCTTGCTAACTATCCTGCGAAATCGGATATATAT